TTTTTGTCTTAAATACATCAAATTGATTATCTAATTATTATTAGCAATCTCAAACAATCAGATTTAAATTTAATTTCTGGTAGAGGTGATGGTAGATATACAATCAAAATTATTATACCTTTTGTAGTATTATAACTTTAATATAATGTAGTATTATAACTTTAATAATGTTGTGCATCTTAAATAGAAAACAGATTTTATTTGCCAAGCTTCTTGTTTGAAAGGCTAATTTTGTATACCTGCAATACTTTCATCACACAGAAGTTCTTTCAAATCTTTCTTTGATTTCATGAAGTGAATTGTTTTTTGTTTTTTTTTCATTATACATAAAAGTGAAAAACTTTTTATTTCCCATACATGCAGCAGATTAAAAACAGTTGTTCCAGCTTTGCTATAAATCATTTTGTATGGCATGCAGAAAATAAATTAATTTACAGTACTGTGTTTGTTTAATCCTCCAGGATGAATCCTACAAGACATGTGTGGAACCATTGCTGCGCTCCTGTTTTGAAGGATATAATGCAACAGTTTTTGCATATGGCCAGACAGTGAGTAACTTTGATACTTATCAATCTTACTTCTGCTGTTATCCAGAATAGAAATTTTGTTTTTGTTATATTTTCAGCTTTTTGGGCTTTATATTTTCAATCATTTTCAACCTTTCTTGTTAATGAAAGAAAGTTATTGTGGATACCACATATGTCGTTGTTGTTGTTGTCATTGTTAACGATGTGTGTGCTTGGTAACTAAAATAAATTTTTTCTCATCTTTTTTGGTTGTCTTTTTGATTACTTGGTTATACTTACAATGTGTCAGGTCTTAATTAATATGAATATTTTATTTTTCAGGGATCAGGTAAAACATACACCATCACTGGAAGTAACTCTATTGACATTCAGGAGGAAGAAATAGGAATTGTTCCAAGAGCCCTGAAGCAAATGTATGAAATGATAGAGGTGAGACTGATGACTGGTGCTTGGTTAAAATTTCTATCGAAGAGCACAAATACTTCATTTGTACCATGGCTCTCTTGAATTGACCAATTTGATCAAAGTATTGACAGCTTTGAATACAAATTGACTACTAATTAAGCTAAATAAGCTGAATTTGTGACAGTCACAGTACAAAATAGTTAGATTATAGGTATTTCGTTTTCTTATCTATTTCTCAGTAGTAACTTGACCGAGTTTGTTTAAAGTGGAAATGATGACTTTAAAGGACATAAGTTGCCATATTTTTTGTCTGTAATTTTTAACTCAATTGAATAACACAGAATCACTGAAATTGATGATAATAACGTGCTGGAATCACTGTATGTATGTGTAATATGACAATCCTTACATTTTACCTTGTATGTATTTATTTGGCTTAGTAGTTAGTTGTTAACCTTTTCACCACTGGTTCTGACTTATCATCACAAATTCACAAAATAGTCCCAGTTTTAATCTGCACTTTCCTTCAAAAGATTTGGACAAAAATAGCCACATTTTTTGAGTAAAAACTGAAAATTAACTACAATTTTGTCTGTTGGCTACAAAATTAGGGTTCATTTTTAGAAATATTGAAGAATATACAAGAAAAAAGTGCAGACATATTTGGGCGAAAAAGTCTGGTGGTGAAAAAGACAATATACATGTACAATAAAAAAAAACAAAAAAAACATGCCTATTCATTAATACATACAATGTAAGCATACTCATTTTCATTCAACGTTAAGTTTCATCATGAGTGTTTAATATACAAGGAGCATTCTGAGAATCTGTAATCATATATGAAGAATTAAAATGTATGACAAACTAAAAGTACCTCAACAACAAAATATTTGTTTTTTAGGAAAATCATAATAAGGATTTCACCATTAGAGTGTCGTACATTGAAATATACAAAGAGGAGTTGAAGGATTTGTTAGACATAGAGACTAACAGTAAAGATCTGGCAATTCGTGAAGATGATAAAGGCAATACTGGTAAGAACATCTTCAGTAATGGATATCAACAAATTGGCATCTGTATATTTTCATCACATGGCAAACAGTATTACAGTATTTTTTTGTTTTGTTTCATGCTCGGATTGCTTTGTTGTCATATGAAAAACTCTACCAGGTGGAAAATTTACAGTGGTACATGATAGATTCACGTGGTACAACGTAGAACGTTCTGTGATGTAGCTCCACCACCATAAATATGCAAATTATATCATTATGCATATTAGCTTCTATGCTTGCCTCTACACTGCTTATTGGTTGACTTTCTTAACATTTAGGGAGGGACAAATAAGAAGCACTGTGTATCATTTTCGGAAATTATTAGCAATTACTAGTTGGTCATTGATTTGTTCTTTTATTCCATAGTATTAGTTGGAATCAAGGAAGTTGAGTGTGATTCCGTGGATGAAGTTATGAATTGTTTAGATACTGGATCAGCTAATAGACATACTGGCACTACTAATATGAATGAACACTCCAGTAGATCACATAGTGTCTTTACTGTCATGATTGGTAAGTTTTTTGACTCCCGTGTGCGAAGCACAAAAAGGGAGTCTTTGCAGTTAGTGTGTCTGTATGTGTGTATGTGTGTGTGTGTGTATGTGTGTGTCCGTCTGTTCCACTGATATCTCAAGAACCATACATCAGTTTTTGATGAAACTTGGTGCATAGATGCTCTGGGCCAATGCACAGATTTGATTAGGTTTTGGTAAAAATCCATGCATATTAATTACCTAATTTGCATGAT